GGTGCTCGAACCAATTTAGTCGAAACAGAAGACTATAAGATCGCCCGCTATGTTGATGGTTTGCGTGAAGATATCCAAGATCAAATGGATACTCAACTAATCGGATTACTCACTGAGGCTATCTCTATGGCCACAAAGATTGAAGCTAAGATCGAAAAGAAGCATGCAAAGACATCATTTCGTCGCACTACTTGGGATAAACAACCTCTATCTAAAGATCGAAACAGAAGACTATAAGATCGCCCGCTTTGTTGATGGTTTGCGTGAGGATATCCAAGATCAAATGGATACTCAACTAATCGGAGATTGAAGCTAAGATCGAAAAGAAGCATGCAAAGACATCATTTCGTCGCACTACTTGGGATAAACAACCTCTATCGAAATTTTCCGATGGGGAAACCGGAAAAACGTTACCTCTCAGTGGTGCCTCAACCTCCACTGCTACCAAGAATGATGAAGCTACTAAAGCTTTGCCGCCTCCCAAACCTACTGACACCACGGCAGAACGAGGTAATAATCAATATACTAGACCTACTCTTGGAAAATTCTTCCGTTATGGGCAGATTGGTCATTTATCAAATGAATGTCCACAACGACGGGCCTTGGCATTGGTTGATGACGAAGATCAAGATGATCAAGAAACTGAGCTTCTTGATGACGATGATACTGCCTAGATTGAACTGGATGATGGAGAACCAAGATTGAACTGGATGATGGAGAACCAATTAACTGTGTCCTTCAAAAAGTTCTCCTTGCTCCAAAGGTGGAGACTCCTAATCAACGACATTCCCTTTTTCGAACTCGTTGCACTAGCAACGATAAAATTTGCAACGTTATAATTGACAGCAGCAGTTGTGAAAATATGGTCTCCCAAAGATTGGTGACCACGTTAAATCTCAAGGTTGATCCCCACCCTACTCCCTATAAGGTTTCTTGGATACGCAAAGGGGGTGAGGTTCAAATACACTCTACATGCACTATACCTCTATCCATTGGCACTCAGTACGAGGATCAAGTTATTTGTGATGTTTTAGATATGGACGCGTGCCACATTTTGTTAGGACGCCCTTGGCAGTTCGACCTTCAAGCATTACATAGAGGGCGGGACAATACTTATGAATTTACTTGGATGAGCAAGAAAATCGTTCTTCTCCCATCCAACGTGGATGTTAAGTCTAAAAAGGATACATCCACTACTCCTCAGCAACTATTCTCCATCATCAATGGCAAGTCCTATTTAGAAAGAGGGGATCCTATGGTATGGGCCTTGGTAGTTAAAGGGGATTCTCCTCTATCTCTACCCGTCGCTCACCATCCCAAGATTGAACATCTCCTGTAAGAATTTGTTGATATAATAAAGACCCTGCGGGGTTACCAGATATTCAGCATTGCATCGACTTTCATCCTGTTTCTTCCTTACCCCACGTACCTCATTATAGAATTTTTTGAATAAGAATACCTCATTATAGAATGATCCCCAAGGAATACCAAATTCTGCATGATCAAGTGAATGATCTTTTACTAAAGGGACATATTAGGCCTAGTCTTAGTCCTTGCATCGTGTGTCGTGCCTGTTTTGTTAGCACCGAAAAAGGACGGATCCTGGTGGATGTGCGTGGACAGTCGCGCCATCAATAAGATTACAATCAAATACCGATTTCCTATTCCCTGTTTATTTGATATATTGGACCAACTTAGCGATGCTCACTTATTTTCTAAGGTGGACCTCAAAAGTGGATATCACCAAATCCGCATACGACCCGGAGATGAATGGAAAACAACCTTCAAGACAAATGATGGTCTTTTTGAATGGCTTGTTATGCCATTCGGTTTGTTTAACGCACCCAGCACGTTTATGCGCTTGATGAACCAGGTACTTCGCCCTTTATCTTAACAATTTTATGGTAGTTTACTTTGACGACATATTAGTATATAGTAAATCTGAGGTCGAACATCTAGAACATCTTAGGACACTCTTTTTCACATTACAGGAGCACAAACTGCATGTTAATCTAGCTAAATGCTCATTCATGACTATTGAAATAGCCTTCCTTGGATTCTATATTACACAATTTGGCATTTCTGTTGACCCCTCTAAAGTTTTAGCTATCCAACAGTGGCCCATACCAACTTCGGTATGGGATATTCAATGTTTCCTAGGATTAGCTTCTTTCAATAGAAAATTCATTAAGCACTTTAGTTCTATTGCTGCACCTCTAACAGATTGTCTAAAAAAGGGAAAATTTTTTTGGGATGAAGAACAGACTACTAGTTTCAATACACTGAAAGACAAACTAAACTCTACACCTGTCCTAGCCCTTCCAGATTTCTCATACCCTTTTGAAGTCACCGTTCCGGCATAGGTGTAGGTGCTGTCTTATCCCAAAAAAGCCATCCCATTGAGTATTTTAGTGAAAAACTCACTCCCCCTAGGCAAAAATGGTGCACTTACAAACAAGAGCTCTACGCATTAATAAGAGCCTTAAACAATGGGAGCATTATCCATTGGAAAGGAGTTCATACTTTTCACGGATCACTTCTCCCTCAAATATTTACAAACACAAAAAACGATAAATAGAATGCATGCCTGCTGGATTCCCTTTATGCAGAAGTTTGATTTTGTAATAAAACACAAGGCTGGGATAACTAATAAGGTGGCAGATGCGCTTAGTAGGAAAGCAAGCCTCTTAACACTTCTATCGGGACAAGTTATTGTCTTTGATCACTTACCTTCTACTTATGAACATGATAGTGACTTCAATCATATTTGGAACCAGTGTATCACTCATGTTAATTCCAATGATTTTCACATCATTGATGGCTCTCTTTAAAGGAGATCGATTATGTATACCACACACATCCCTACGAGAAACCTTGATTAAAGACTTACATAGTGGAGGCTTCCCATTCCTCAATCAATATGGGAGGACTTGTCCATGGACTTTATCCTCGGACTCCCTAAGACACAACATGGACATGACTCGGTTCTTGTAGTTGTGGATCGGTTTAGCGAGATGTCTCATTTCTTGCCATGTAAAAAGACATTTACATTGCTAATCTCTTCTTTCGTGAGATAGTAAGACTACATGGTATCCCAAAAACAATTGTTTCATATCGAGATGTAAAATTCTTGAGCCACTCCTGGAAAACGCTTTGAAAAAAATTTGATACAGTATTGAAATTTAGCACCACCAACCACCCTCAAACGGATGGCCAAACGGAGGTCACAAACAGAACTTTGGGCAACCTTATACGATGTCTAGGAGGGACTAAGCCAAAGCAATGGGATCTTACATTGGCGCAAGCTGAAGTTGCTTACAATCATATGCAGAATCGATACATAGGAAGTCCCCCTTTGACATTGTTTATACAAAACTCCCTAGGGTTACTGTAGACCTTGCTAATTTACCATCTTCTATTGATCTTAACCAGGAAGCAGAACTTATGGCCGAAAGAATAGTGGAGCTACACAAGAAAGTCACGGATAATCTTACAAAAGCAGCAGCCTCTTACAAAACTGCAGCAGATACACATAGAAGGAAGAAAACATTTGAAATCGGGGACTTGGTCATGGTGTATCTGAAGAAATCGCACTATCCCAAAGGGACTTAAAACAAATTAAGCAACAAGAAGATCGGACCATTTGAGATACTTCAAAAGTATGGTGATAATGCATACAAAGTTAATCTACTCGACGATCTTCGAATAACTCCAATATTCAATGTTGCTGATATCTACGACTACCAAGCCGCGGATGCATTTACTCTAGCCAACTAAACTCGAGGACAAGTTTTCTTTTTGGACGGAGGGAATCTGATGTAATGTTAGTTACTAAGAATATAGCCGTTGGTTGTTAGTAGTTAAAACCTTTTATTATTGGTAGTTATTATAGCCGTTGGTTTTATTAGTTAGTTGGTAGTCATTCGCTAGGCAACCTATAAAAGGCCAAGCCGGGTCTGCTGAAGGAATAAGAATTGTTTTTCAAGTTTCCATTCTGATTGGTTTACACCAATTCCTTTATATGCTTTTCCTCGAGGCCACGGGTTTGAATGCTTTGCAAATCTCTAAGTTTTTTTCTCGAGGCCACGAGTCTGTTTGGGATCTTATTAGATTTAATGTCTCTTTATGGGGCTTTATCTCTAAGTTTTATTTTTGTAATTATCAGCTAGGTTCTATTCTTTTGGATTGGAAGCCCTTTCTTTAGATAGGTTCTATTCTTTTGGATTGAAAGCCCTTTCTCTTTAGATTGGACTCCTCTGTCAGGGCTTTTGTTTTTTGTATGCCTGTGTATATGTTTTATGTTTTCATTATTCTCAATGAAATTTTTGGTTTCTTATCAAAATATTAGAATAAAAATGCTTTGCAAATCTTTCCGAAGCTTTGTACTTTTTTATTTTTGTTTTTTTACTCCTTTTAGGAGTTTGTTTCCTTCGAGCATTTTTTGTTTCTTTTCATTATATCAATGAGAAGCCTGTATTTGTTCAAAAATCCTTGATCAACGATAACCTTACCTTTACTCCAGATAAAGGCAAATAAGTTAGACCAAGTGAGCATGCATGAAGCATAGTAGCGGACAGAAGCAAAAGTTAAAAATAGTGTATGAGAATCCATGTAATCAGCCAAGATTACTGAGGATCAGATTATTTGACCATTAGCAAGTTGGAAGCTGCAAGCAAAAGAACAAACCATCTTTTATTACATGCCTCTTTATAATGCTGTACGCAAAAAAACTATGGTATTTCACCAACTTTCATGATAGATTTTATTCCCTTAAGTAATGAATTGATTCATGTCATTACACAATAACCAAACAATGAAATCATATCAAGGCTTCTAATCTGAAGTACTATGCTGCATTCCTTGACACAAGGATGAGATATTTTATGTAATCAAATTTCACGTTCACACATATACTTGCATGTTGCATCACACAAATGGCCAAGAAAGTCACTAGAACTAAAATGTACAAAGCATACAAAAATAATGGGAAAATTGAATACCTATCAGATCTTAAAGCTGGAGTAACTTGACAATAAAAGAATCCTGTAAGTGTCAATGCAAAAGCAGCCACCTTTCCCAGAAGCAGTAGAACATTTGTAGCTTTACTGGATGTTGGGAGGAGAAATATTAAAACTAAAGTTAGTTTTCCTCTGGATAAAATTTTTAATTGAAGGACAACAGACAGAATATGTCACACGTAGAAATCACTTGAACAATAAATTTTAAACAACTTCACAAAACTCGTCTTACAAGACACAGACCTCCGAACATGCTTGTGCAGATCCCAATGAAGAAACCTAAGACGGTTCTCCTCAGAAAAATCATTATTAATGAAGTCAATCGCATTGGCAAACTCAGCACGAAGAATAGACTCCCGTGGCTTTCTCTCACGTGTCTGTTAACACAAAAAGCCAAATATCACTTGGGACAGATGTTAATTGAATTAAAGCTAGAATCAGGAAACAACTACAGGGTTTCCTACTATTTTCCCTCACTCTCTCCTCTTGAGGCTGTAACACAACGTGATGCATCTTCCATTGCATCCATATTTAACTATCATAACGGATATTAGCAAGCATAAAATATATCAATTTAAACCAAGTACCTTTATGAGGTTCAATATAATTATGGGGTTTCCATATCTTTTGGCAAGATTTTCAAAATGAAGTCTGGTTGCTTCATAATTTTGGTCCTTCTTTGACACTGGAAAAGACAAATTTGGGTTAAGAGGATAATACATGAGCAGATTAAAAACAAGTACAACTGAATTAAAGTCATACGTATGATGTCAGGTCTTAAGTTTAAGCGAGAAGTTTCCTGTGACCAGAAAAGAGGGATTGAGCCACGATTCTGAACAACAGAACTCAATTGCATGGGAACCCCTTCAGGAACATCCTCAAAAACAATTTGTTCAGTCTCGACGTCATTTGCCACTCTACCTTTTTCATTCACACCTCGTTTCAAATACCTACAAGAGATGGAAAAAAATTTTAAATGGCTGATAATTATGTGCATAGACTCCATTCAGTGAACCAAAATAAACCGAAGAAATTTATTATAATCAGTGTTGATCCCTGTATAAAATCAAGCTGTAAATTAAGAATTAAATTAGGAATTATTTGATTGTTCTCTTGTATATTTTGTAATTTTCCTTTCCATATAGGTTTATATTGATTGCTTACTTCTAAGCACATATGATTAAGAATCTTCCTTGTATATATTTGAGTCTATCTCACCCCTCAAGGATAAGAAAAACCTTTCTCATACATAGCTTCATGGTATTACAGCCTAATTTCGCTAGAATTGGCCTTCTTCTCAAGATAAATTACGGCAAAACCCCTTGCACGTTGTCACACATCCTTCCTAGAAGACACTAGCTGTCACGCATCCTTCACCCGGAAAAAACCCCAATAACGTCGTCAATGTCGCAGCTGCTACCTTCAGACGTAGTCGCTGCCTTCTTAGGCAATCTTTGCTTCCTCCTTCGCACGCCACATAGTGAGGAGACGTCGCCTCCTTCACCGACAGTCGTTGTACAGCAAGACTTTGCACCCTGTTGCCTCTTTTTTTTTTAAATTTGGTTCATCTCTTGCAGCTTTCCATTGCGATACACCACTGTCGTCGTTACCGTCGCCTCTCGTTCTCCAGACAGTGGCCTAATGTTGTTTCTTTGTTTCGTCCTATTTTTATATTGCCAGTGTTGGAATCACAAATTTTGAGGCAGTCATTTGAATGTTTGTCGGGTCTAGAAGGGGGCTGATTGCCCTTTACCTCGACTGATTGGTTGTTATTACTAGGGTGATAGCTTTTTGTAGTTTGCATTTATTATCGTAAGCAGTTTTGTTAGCATTGGTCAAGAGGCATTTATAGTAAGAGACTACCTTAGAAGTGCAATCTATAAGAAGTTGGGAGATTTAAGCTATTCGGGCTAGAGAATTATATGAATTTCCAGCAAAATTTTTTCAGGATCTCAAAGTTCTATTTCATCAATCAATCTTTTTTGGTCTCTCTCCAGCAAATAGTCTCTCTATTTTTGCAAGCTTTGTGAAAGAAAGTTTTTCAATTCTCTGCTCATCCAATCATTAGATTTTTCAGTTTGCTTTTGGAACTTGATGAATGTAGTCTTGGTTTTTTGGTTCTATTATCTTGTATTTTTTACATTCTTGTTCCTAGCTGGTTGTTTTACATCCTTTTTGCTTCTTTTGAGAGGTTGTATTTTGAATATTTTTCTTCCTTTTCATATCATCAACGAAAATTTGTTTCTTGTTAGGAAAAAAAAAATAAATGTGAATCCATCAGGCCAAGAGCCTTGTTACTGCCGAGACTTTTTAAGGCTGAAACAATTTCCAATTCCTCAAAATTTCGTTCTATGTGTTCTCTATTGATGGTAGAAATAGGCCGCCATTCTAGACCAACAGGTATCAAGCGAGGAATGGTAGTGCAATCATACAAACCTTGAAAAGAAAAACAAGAACATGATTCTGCTCATCAACTAATTCGGTAATGAGTGCTTTTCTCTTCCTTGCAGCCAAAATTCGATGGAAAAAACCTGTGTTCTTGTCCCTTCCTTCAGCCAATGCAGTTTACATTTCTGGATTAACTTCCTCTCCTCCTCCATATAAAGATTCAAGAGATCTATCTTCAAAGTACGTCTTTTAGCAACTTCTGTCTCGGAAATGCCACTAGGTTCACCCTTACTCTCAATTTCTGCAGTTTCTTCTAGGATAAAATTTTCTTTGGCCTTCAGCTGCTTCTCGTTCATAATGTTCCACTGGCCTTCAGCTCCAGCATCAGCTAAGTAAATGGAACAACCTTTTCATCTCCAAAGGAGGCAGATTCACTATCTTACAATCTGTCCTCACAAATCTCCCTATCTATAACCTCTCCCTTTTCAGGCTACCTGGAAAGGTTGCAGATCGTCTTAGTAAAATCTTCAGAGATTTCCTTTGGGAGGGACCGAACTCAAATGGCAAGCCCCATCTTATCAACTAGACCCGCACCCAACTACCGCTACACGAAGGAGGCCTTGGCGTTGGTAACTCAACCAAAGGAACCGAGCTTTATTATCTAAATGGATTTGGAGATTCATTTCAGAGCCAAACCACCTATGGAGGAGACTCATTGCGGCCAAATACAATGGCTCACTCTCAGATACCTGGCCATCAAATCGTAGAAATTGTTTTAAGGGGCCATGGAATGGAATTTCTAAGCAAATCAGCATTTTCAGGACATATTCTATTTGCAAAGTGGGTGAAAGAAGTGTCCTCAGTTTCTGGCACGATAAATGGCTCTCTCAAGGCACTCTGAACAGCCTCTATCCCAATCCCTATGCTATTTCGACCAACAAAGAACTAAGAAGCCACTATTTCTGAACTTTGGTCTCACTCTACAGCCTCCTAAGATTACAACTTTCGCAGACCACTTAAAGATGATGAGCTCTCTGATTGGCTGGCCCTCTACCATATACTAGATACATCCACCCCCACCTCTCTTGATGACCAATGGACATGGCCTTTGGAAACCACCAGATCTTTTTCTACAAAATCTGCCTATCGCATTCTCACCACTAACAAAGATCTCACTGCCTCCACCCTCTTCCCTCGAATTTGGCAAGGGAGATGCCCTAGGAAAGTCAAGTTCTTCTACTGGGAACTTAATCATGGGGCGATCAACACCCATGATAGACTACAGAAAAAACTCACCCACATCACCCTATCCCCAAACTGCTGCCTTCTCTATTTTAAAGCTACAGAAACACAGGGTCATTTATTCACTCAATGTGATTTCGCATATTGATTTTGGAGCCATCTACTCGCAGCTTTTGGATGGGAAACTCCCCTACACACAAATCCAACTATCTTTCTTGACCAGATATTGGCGGGACACCCTTTTAAGAGAAGGAAACTAACTCTATGGATACAGTTTGCTCGGGCCTTCTTTTGGAGTCTTTGGTTGGAAAGAAACAACAAGGTTTTTAATGACAAGGCTCTCCCTTTTGATTTATTTTTTGATAGGATTATTACCTTAGCTCTCGGATGGTGTAAATGTTTCTACCCCTTTTAGCAGCTATTCTCTAAATGATCTTATTACAAGTTGAAAAGCTTTCTTGTAATTGCCCGTGTGGCATTTTGTATATTTTATACCATCAATGAAATATTTGTTTCATATCAAAAAAAAAAAAAATGTTCCACCGTTTGATAACTCCCTTCAGATTCCTCAACTTCAAAGATAAAGCATAACCTGCCTAGCCAAAAGATCTATTAGTTGCTAGTGTTGCTTCAATTAACTCAACGTAGTCGTTGTTATTCATCCATGCATTGTAAGAACGAAAGGGAAATTCGAACACTCAAGTAGATTCAGGGATTTCAAGGAGACCTCCTCCAAGCCACCTAGGAAAGTGCCTAATACTTCAAAGGATCGCTTGGTCCAGTGTTTCAACAATAGGCCTTGAAGATTGATTCATCCAACATATCCTTTGACTACCCCCTCCCTACTATGCTTCACGAAGGCCCATCTTTCTATTTTCACATGGAAATTACCCAATCTCTTCCATCTCCCATCTGTTATCTAGTTTCCCAACAATCTATTATCCTCAAACTTCAGCGGTGCTCTATCCTCCATGAAAGTATTAATCAAACAACTTTGAGAGAACTCTTTCTTTACAGTAATCGGAATTAGTTTCCAATCGTCTTGAGGATTACGCTTTTTAAATAACTATTAAGTTATTACAATCCATCTCCACCACCTCATGATCCTTTTTAATCCAAAAGGAATTTTGATTTTCCAGTGGTTTGTCAATCGGCTTTCCAAAAACAGGAGGGATCAGAGCATTACCTTTTCCCTGGTGGTGCTAATTTTCTTTGTTGCACAAAGTTCTCCCCTTGTTGCTTACCAAAACTTCAGCATAGGAGGGCAGTGAGTTGATGCATTCTTCTCTCTAGGGAGGTTGTTTCTTTTGATTTTTGTCTCGCTCCTTCGGGAGTTTGTATGTTTGAACAATTCTTTTTCATTTTCATACCTTCAATGAAAAGTTTGTATCTTGTTCAAAAAAAAAAAAAAAATGGTTCGAGATGAACTTGAGGATTTTCGAAGGAAAGAACAGATTCGTGCTTGAATACCTCAATTCAGCTAATTTCAAGGCTTCTCATCCGTGTTCTCTTACTTGTTCCTTTTCTAATTATTCCCCTAATCTTATCTTCAATAATTGGGGTGCTTTTATTAATCCTTTGTAGTTCTTTGTATTCAACACTTTCATTTTTTGTAATTTTTGTTTTCTGCCTTCCTTTTCACTCTTTCGAGTTTGTATCTTTGAACTATTTCTTGTTCCTTTTCATACCATCAATGAAAAGTTAGTATATTGTTTTTGAAAATAAAAAATCAAAAAATCAAAATGTTCTCAATAGATATCTTGCATGAATACTCGCAATAGATATCTTCACGGCCAAAATACGGAATATTCACCATGAGAACCAAGAGAATAGAATATAAAAGGTTCAAGAAATATATTTAATATCACGGAATAGTAACAAACAAAAGAAAGCCAATCCAACTTTCTTCTTATCAACTTACAATCGAATGACAAGTATAGTTATCCAAAGAGAAAAAGCCTAACTGCCCATACCTTGTTCCAGCATAATGACGAGAACGTCTAGCAATGAGGGTCAACTTAAAATCTCGCCCATCTAGAGATAGTGTAGCCTATGAGCAAGAAAGAACAAGTCCCCTTTGTAAAATAAAATGAGACAGCTAACAATGAAATTAAACTGCTATCTCCAAATAAATAGCACAGGAAAATACTCAAGTGATGGCACCATTTATCAAACAATAAATAACAATATTATTTATCCTAGCAGTCAGCCACAGTGAACAACCAGCATCAACTTCAATCATATGTTAACAATATCAATCCAATAAACAACAAATTTCCGTCTCCTCATTAGCTTTTAATTAAAGTACAATATTTCATAACATAATAACAAAGTTGGGAAGCAGAGCATCAATCTTAGAAGTTTGATGTAAGAAGAGTTTTAGAAGAAGTTGGGATTAATGGATTGTCTTTCCTTTTAAGTTTTATATATGCTGCAATTAGTTTATTTGAGTAATTCTGTGTGAGAGTCCTATTAGGGTTAGTTTTCCAATAGTATTAGTATTGTAGGTAGGGGCATTATAGTAATTAGTTAGGGGTGAGTTTGTTATAAATAGAAGTAGTAGGGACAGAAGGAGAGTATTTTGGAGAATATTTGAAGGTGATGAATTTGAGAAAGTTCTTGGGAGAGAGATAGCCCTCTCAAAAGGCTATTTATATTGTAATTTCTCTTTGATATTGCAATATATTTATATTGTTTTTTTTTATTAAAAAAGAGGAAACAAGACACGAGAAATGAGAACATGACCAAATGGGTCCTTAGTAAACTAATCTTATGATATTAGTGTAGGCTATCCAAGAAGCACCAATTACTCACCTGCTTGAAAAAGCCATAGACCAAAGCAACTGTCCAAATGGTGTTATGCAAGTGGTTTCGGATTCCACGAGTCAAAAATTCATTCCAGACAAACATGGTTTCATAAAGGACGTCACCTGTCTCATTGTCACATATATTCTTTTGAAGACTGCGCATAACTTGGTATGAGTAGCTGAAAAAGAAGTCCTTTGTGAGATCCACTGTGCATAGGAGCTTCTTGTATCTAGCATCAAGAAACAAGTGAAAAAGAAATAGTAGATTAGTTGAGTCATTAATAGTTACAGGAAACCTCCAATTCAGTTTCCTTCACTAAAAGGATTTCTTTGTTTAACCAAAAAATCACTAACATGATCCAATCAACAGAAATGCAAAATCGAATAACTTTGGTTACAAACGTAACTATGAGAAGATTGATTTTTGAAACAATTATAATCATCTACAGCATTTGACATAATGAAAATATTACTTTAGCTTGTGGGATTATTTAGGGACTGTTTTAATAACTAATTTTTGTTTCTAAAAATTAAAAAACTGTTTTTGAACGCATAAACCTTGACAAGAAACAACTTTCATTGATATATGAAAATGAAAAAGGGTTCAAGGATACAAACTCCTGGAGGAGAGAGACAAAAAGAGAAAAGAAATAAAAAAGAGGCCTAACTAGGAGCAATACAAATCATGAAGAGACAATAAAAGCCAAAAAGACCCTGCGAACTATTAGCAAAACGATCCAACAAGATGCAAGGACACAAAAAAAACATTAAGAATCTTTAACTTCAGGCACGCTAGCAACTTCATCAATATCTTTAACATCTGGAAAAAGGACATTGAGATATTGAGAAAATGTGGTTCGAATTTCAACTATTTCTCTTTCCCGATCAACTTGAATCGCCAACACTTTTCTATAGTGCTCTTCTAGCATCACCTCCCCTTCTTTGCGAAGCTTGACAAGCTCAAAATCAAGAAAAACTAAGTATGCATCCAATTCCGAAGGAGAAAGACTAGAGATGTATTTGAGGGTAGCAACTATGAATTCTTTAGAAATATCCAGGGGAGTATCTTTATCCATACTGCCAAGGAAAGCTACTCAAATCTCTTAGTAACAAAGAGAGTGTAACAACCCGTATTTTCCAATACGGTCATTCTGACAAAATGCGGAAACATAACCAACTAAACATTAAATTAACGGAAAGACTTCTTTATTTAATACGATACTATGACAAAAGATAAGGACAAGTCCAACTTTGACACCAAAAAAAAACTTTTAAAACTATAATAAAGCCAAGGAATAACTACCAGAACTAACTACGTTCTCATAAGCTAAAAACAATGGAAAATACTAAAGATTTCAACTCCTCATGCCAAAACGCTATTCCTCAATCACTATCTGAGCAGTCACTTGAACCTTCATCTGAAAACATTTAGAAAAACAAAGAAAAAATGAGTACAAAAATACTCAATAAGCAATTTCCATATCGAATTTCAAAATTCATTTTCCTTTCATTACATTCGTAAACAAAAATACGAACAAATCAAAACTTTTAAAGTCCTTTAAAAATATTTAGTACAATTTTCAAAACTTTCAAAAATAAACTAGATTTTCGCAAACAAAGACTTCAAATAAGATAAAATTTCCAGTCATTCAAAACAAACTTTCATTCTTTCAAAACAAACTTCCATTCATTCAAAACAAACTTTCATTCGATCAAATTTCAAATCCTTCAAAACAAACTTTCTTTCGATCAAAACTTTCAAAGTTCATTCTAAAACACTTGATACAACTTTCAAACTTTTAAATAACTAAATCATTCAAACATTCAAAACAATCTTACATTCATTCATACTTTCAAAATCAGAGTGGAAGGTTGCATTATTTGGGTAGCCTACAGAACATATGTGGTTATCCATCGGTAACACCAATCAATCAGAAGCTTCTATCAGAGTTGTCAAATTAATATCGACCAGAACAGAGTTGTCGAAATAATATCGACCAGAACAGAGTTACTTAAGTGTGAGGCCATGTAAGTGAATAACACACACATGAATCTTCATTCCCAAGGAATTCCAAATCACAAAAGTGTCTTCCCACAAATAAGGCAGAACAGAAATCCATCAATTCCAAATTAGGCTACTGCCCAAATAAGCGAAACATTCCTCAAAACAAAATCATGCAAAACAAATACTTACTTTCAATATTAAATTAATTCAAAACATTGAACTAATTTAAAACAAACTTTATCAATCATCTAAAACATGATTTCAAATATTTCACAAATAAACAAAATATCAATTTCAAACCTTTAAATAAATCTAAACAAAACTTTATCAAATCATTTAACAATACTTCAAATACTTTGCAAATAAACATAATTTCAATTGCCAAATTAGTTTTCAAATCCATAATAAAACTTGAATTTCATATGCAAGATATCAATTTCAAATCGTCGTATCAAATCCAAAATACATTTTAGTTTTGGAAAAGATATGGCAAATCACTGACAACATTTTTCAAAGGGATACGGTAAATCACTTACAATACTTTTCGAAGGGATATGACAAATTACTTACAATACTTTTCGAAAGGATACGGTCAATCACTTACAATACTTTTTCGAAGGGATATGACAAATTACTTACCTCTTTCAGAAATCCTACGAATCTAATTAACTTCTTCGTAGTTGTCGACTTAGAGGCCTAGAAACAACAAATATCAAATCTTAAATCATATCCAAGGATTTAAAATTCAACCAATTACTAACCCAAATCTTATCTACCCAATTTTCCCATTCAAAACACTTTTTTATGCAAAATAATTAGGAAAGTATGGATTTGGGACTACAAAACCAGATCTGAAAATTATGTTAAAAAGCCTCTAAAATCCACCATAACAACCATTAAAATTACAAGAATCGATATAAATCAATACGAACTAAATTTACAAAAAGTTTCTTAATAAAACCAGCTTAAAAACCTTCTAAACAATTGAAAATTTGGGGATTTTAAATCTGAAAATTTTTCTGTTTTATAAAATCAAACTTCCAAGAATTTTCCATAAAACAATTAACAATTTATTAATTTTTATAGAAAAATCAGATCTGAAAACTTTATAGAAAACCTTTAAAATTTGGTAAAAACATATAATTTTTCATGTAAAAATCATAACAACAAACTATAATTTATAGGATACAAATAGGTAAACTTTTTATGTAAAAAGAGCCTCAAAATAGACCAAAAACAGTCTTATAAACAAAAAAATTCAAACCAGAAATTCTAGAAAATTTTGAGGGTAAAAAATCCTTAGAATAAAACAAAGACCTCAAAACTTTTCCCAATAAACTGAATTAAAGAACTACAAATCAAGAAAAATAAACTAAAACAATGAGGAAGAAAATCTTACCGATCTTTGAGAGAAAATACCAAAACTCTTCTTCTTTTCTTTTCTTTTTCTCTTTGAGAGAAAACTATGTCAAACAGTTTTAAGAAAATAAAACCTAGGGTTTAAGAGCTTTTATAACAAACCCTAGTGAATCCTTATTTAAAAAGGATAATAAAAAGATAAAGATTTAATAAAACTCTTTCTTTTTATTTTTTTTTTCGAATTCTAAGAACAAATTATCTTTTAAAAATAATTTTTAAAACAAAAATTTATATATATATATTTTTTTGAGAAAATAAAGAAAACAACTAAATAAAAATAATAATTTAAATATATATATTTATATATATATTTTTTTTTTTCGGTTGTTACAGAGAGCTTCAGTAAACCCTTGCTATAAATAAGAGAAGCAAATACAATAAGAGCCTTCTCAACTTCTGAAACCAAAGAAGAGAGAGAAGGAAATATTGTCCCCTCGTGAATCTGAACCACCCACCATTGGATGCTCCACGAATTAATTAAAAGTTTACAAAGAGACTTTTCGAATTCCGCGACAAGGTTTGAATAAAAATCCACCCGGACAACTTTATTAACCAAGCATAAATGAAGAACATCCAATCAATATGCAATAAAACACGCGCCACACAAAAAGCCTTGAAAGCCGAGAAGGTATTGAAGAAGCAATTAAATCCATGAAGAGACGCTTCAAATTCTACACCAAAAGTACTGTTTGGATCCCACAACTACCGAAATACTTTAGAAAAACACTAAAAGATCTGCTGCGGCCAAAAGGAAAAACAGGCCAACCTCCTTAACTCTAAACCAAGGCTTTTTAACTACCCACAATCAAAATGGCTGCAAGAACCAATATTCATTTCTGAAATTAATCAAAACCAGATCTGACTGTTGACAAAAGAAGGTGAAAGGTTTCCAAAAGAACTCTTTGAAATCCGCATTTTCTTTTTCAAAAACAAAGAAAATATTTTTCTTTTTTTATGCATTTTCTTTGATGTTTTCTAAATTAGTTAGCGTTTTAAAGTAAAACTTAATTTATGAGAATACAATGGAAAGAAGATATTTTCGAACAACTTTAATTCAAAACAAACAGGTTCTTCAAGGTTTTCTCCAGATCAAGTTGGTCTTTCTCTTAGATTAGTCCTGTTTTCGAGTTTGCCTCATCGTAGGTCTCAAGTTAAGTTCATCGTTAAGATTTGTTTTCGATTTGGTTTTAAGGTTTTAGAAAGGATGGATTCGAAAAGTTTCTGTATTGGGAACAAGTTTTATTGGGTTTGGAGTGAAAATGATCATTGTTCTGTTAAAGATTCAAAGAACGTTCATCTTCCTCTTCATGAGTCCCAACTCCATTGGTTCAAGAGCGCACTGGTAGATTGTTTGCACCTTCCCCTTCATGCTAGGTTCTTCAAGCAAGTCAGAGATGAACATGGGACTTGTCGTATTTAGAAAAAACGCTCCATGCTTTGTTGGCTTCTGGAATTAGTTGCTTGGCTCTCTTCAGGCGGACGAAAGTTATTTATGTGCTTGTTGGTTTCAATAAATTTGCTTGGTCAATTTTTTGGGAAATGATCAGTGACTTCTTGTTTGCAAGGCTTACTCAATGATTCATTCAATGGATGAACCTGTAGAAGACAGTTCAAAGGTCTTTAATCCACAGTTGGGGTAGTTGGGACCCTCGAGGGAGACAGTAGAACTTGCTAATGCAGCTCCAAAGAATTTTTGGGTTAGGAAAGAAGATGAAGTTGAAACTATAGAAGTTTTTTAATGGTTCATAGGATTTTTTTTTATATATGAAACAAATATTTCATTGATGGTATGCAATATACAAAAGGCCTCGTAGGCAATTACAAGAAAGCTCTCCAACTTGTAATAAGATCATTTAGAGAGTAATTGTTGAAAGGGGGTAGAAACATTTACACCAACCCGAGGCTAGAACAATAACTCTATCAAAAAAAATTTAGAAAACCTGATGGTTCCTTTCTAACCATAAAGACCACAAGAAAGCCCGAACAATTTGAACCCACAGGATAGCTTTGCCTTTTTTGAAAGGATGACTCGCCAAAATACAATCAAAAAAGGTGGCTGGCTGAGAGTGGAAAGTTGTTTTCCATCCAAAATCCGAGAGCAGACTGTTCCAAAAGCGCATGGCGAAAGGACAATTAATAAAGAGATGACCTTTTCAGACGCTCCATAACAGAGGTGACAGCAGTGTGGGGAGAGACATATGAGGGTGCTTCTTCTGTATCCTGTCATGCGTGTTTAAAGCCCCATGACTTAGCTCCCAACAAAAGAATTTGATTTTCTTGGGACATTTTCCATGCCATAGGCTCATGTAAAGGGTGGGGCCTAGTTGATCAAGTTGGGAGTTGAGGAGATTCAAGGCAGATTTGGTAGTGTAAGTTCCCGAAGGCTCTGGGGGCCAACTCCATTGATCCTCGAGAGGGGGGGCCAATCGGGCTGAGCAAATGGGAGAAATGGGTTAATCGCATCCAGTCATCAATCTCCTCCTCCATAGTTCCATGAAGAGGTGGTTCTTGACCATTGTTCACCAATAGTGGCGCTCCTATTTTTGGCTAGAGCAAATAGATTCGGGAAGAGAGAGGCTAATGTTCTCTGAGCTAACCATCCATCAGACCAAAAATTGATTTGGCTCTTGTCCCCCACCCGACAGATGGCTATGTCCTTAATAAAGTTGGCTTGTAGAGTGATTGCAGACAATGGTCCTTTATGATTTGGATGGTAATTGGTGGGCCAAAGGTTTGTGAGTGATTCATAGTATTTTATTGAGATGAGTCTCCTCCAAAGATGGTTTGGTTCGATTAAGTAATGCCACACCCATTTAGAGAGAAGAGCACAATTTCGATGTCTTATGTTTCCGATGCTGAGGCCTCCCTCATTGATTGGTAGTTGTGTTCTTCTCCAATTAATGAGGTGGGGCTTGCCATTGTTCCCAGGGCCCATAATAAATCTCTAAAGATTTTGTCCATCTTCTCTGCAGCTTTGCCTGATAGTTTGAAGAGTGATAGGTAGTAGATGGGTAGATTGGTGAGGATGGATTGTAGGATGGTATGTCTCCCCCCCTTAGAGATGTAGTAACTGCTCCACTTACAGAGTCGACTTTGAAGTTTCTCGATGATAGGCAGCCAGAAGGTTTCCTTTTTTGGGTTTCCATTGAGAGATAATCTCAAATAAATGCTAGGCCAGGATCCCGATGAACAGCCCCAAGCTTTGGCAATGGTGTTGGTAGTATGTGTACCGATAGAACGTGAGCAAATTGGTGATCAATGATGGTGGATGGTAGAACGTGCTTAATTCTATCAGCAAAACTTCAATAAATATGTCATAATTTTGTTCATCGAACTAATAAGGCAGAACTCTCTCATCATGTTATGTTTGACTTCTAGACAAGCATTAAAAACTCCTTCCTAAAAAAATTCTTGGAACACTTGGATAAAATCTGGCTTGAGAATGTTTCTAACACTTTTTAAAGATTCCATCACAAAACTGTCAGACTGGCAGGTGCTTTGTTACTTCACGAGTTTTTTATTGTGTTCCAAATCTCAAAGGTACCAAAAGGACCAATAAGCTATCTGCTGTCCATTTTACTCATCAGGCCCAATGGAAGACTTCAAAGATTAATTGACCATGGTCCACGGTCCATTCAAGTATAAAGAGTTGGTAAAAGTTCACCGCCTATCTCTTAATCTAGCTATTAGTAAGCAAGCTCACACCTTGATTGTTGACCACCTTCGAAATGAAAGCTTTTGTCCACCAGGCATTAGTAATTTTGTGAAAGAAATTGGAGCATTCATCACTTCCTACGGAACAATAAATATTACACGTCAGAGACCACAGCCTATTTTCTAAAGAAATGATTTCCACCAGCTCAAGCTTCCATTATACATAGAAATAAAGTCAGGATTGCTTCTGGAAGTTAACTCTTCTTTGGTGTCAAAATTTCCAATAACCTTATTAAGTTGACACTTTTTAATGGTAAGATCTCCAAATGTCTCTGTACTCCATCTCTCCAAATCTTGCTTCAAAATTTTTTTGTTTTCCAACCAACTTGAACCTTAGCCACCCCTCTACACAAATAGTATTCCATCTCTCTTCTATAAATTGTCTCAAAATTAAATGGCATAGGTACCAAGAGAAGGTTATCGACCCAGGAGAAACACGAAATGATCTAATTTGTTCCAGTCCCTTATGGAAGCCTAGTACGAGAGAAGGAACTAAGCAAGAAGAGAGAAAATCAGCCACTCCCTCATATCGGACCAAGGCCATGCACCCTTAGAAAGCCTAGTATCAAGAATATGAAAATTGAGAAATGTTATCAATTTGACCTCAATAAAAAAATGAAATAACAGATTTCTAAAACTTCATAATCCCAATTTTTAAAAATATGAAGATCCTAAGAAGTCACTATGAGTAAAAGTCTCTGCTTCTTTCTACTGTACCACTTAGAAATAAACATCGAAGAACAAAATTGACTAAGAACCTGTTCTCATTCTTTGAAACGGCTATAGTGGACCAAACAGCAGGATTTGGAAGTGGAATCATCTCACTTCTGGAAACAGCATATACAGTATGACCACAGATGGTACCGATTTGACGTCTTTTTGTAATAAGCAGCATGTAATAGGGTCCTAGAAATTTAATGAACCCTAGAACCAAAGGAAAGAGTGTAATGATAACGCAATAAAAATACCAGGTACTTTTAAGCAAAATTAAAACTTAAGATAAGATTTGCTTACCAACAATACCATAACAAGTGGTCACGAACTTCAGTCCGCCAGTAGATTTATTTCCCTCATGTATGCGTCTCAGCAAATCAGAACATTCCCTTTCTGTATATACAGCAGAGTCTTCGCGTATATTCAGCTCGGAAAAATCCATCCTGTCAATTTTTAGCACTCTCCAATGTGTTCTACTCTTGTCCCTTCCTATCATGTAAAATTTCTAGAATAGAAATTTTACCAAGAAAAGAATCATAAATAGGAACACCACCACAAATATATAAATACAATTAGACAACCGCATTAAGAAGCGACATACATCACATCACCAACTTAATGTTTCTTCAACCTTCACTAAACCAAGATTATATAGTCTACAGAGGAAAAAATCTTCAGAGGGAAGCAAGAAAAATGTGAGGTACAGGAATGTACTTATAAATACCACCGCAACTTGTCTCAGTACCATAATATGACAAAAATAACACAATCCTGGGAAATTGATACGCAAAAACACAGTTTACTACAGTAGAGAAATCTCTCAAAGCTTTAAGTCTGATCACTAGTACATTTAGCCACTGGGTCGATGTCTGGATAGCTGGAAGTTACACAACATCAAACAGGTGCACAAGTATGTATGTTTTTGTAGAAGAAAGAAATGTAACTAAAACGATGAATATGGGCATATGGGTATGTAAAGAATGAATTGAAAAGAGATGTGTAGTTACCGATCGAGTCTCGTAGAGCCTGAATTTGTGCATACAAGCAGGAGAAGCAGAACGGAGGTCGTCAGAAGATGCGGCGGAGTAGGAGTAGGTATCATTTTCCGGTGATGGGAGAGGATAGGTGGAGAATGAGTTATTCTCAGAGGATGCCATGGGATGAGAAGCGAAAGGGTCAGCCTCTAAGGAAGCCATTTGTGGAAAAGTTGAAGAGATCCCCCGAGCCTCGCACCTCAGGCTCAGGCTCAGGGAAACTAGGAGAAGAGCATGCAAATCAGAGCAGAGCAGAAATCAAAAATTGAACTGAATTGAAGAAGAAGAAGAAGAAGAAGAGAGAAGGAAAAAACAAATCATATGATATAATCAAATCATATCACATCACATCATAGGCTAGAACGGGGAAGGAAACGGAATCAGAAGCGCCGACACCTTAAATACAGAAACAGCAACACCGAAGAACGATGATGTTGGGCTGCTTCAAATACAACATCCTGAAATAAACATTCAAGAACTAGAATGGTTTGGCTGAGACGCAGACAACGGCTGTGTTCTTGATCGTATCATTCATTTCCCGAAACCAAATGATTAACAAGCGAACAAAACAATATTCCACTCCATATGGTACAACATTACGTCCTCAATGCATACATACATACATATGCATATGAGAAGCTTTTATAGAGGTGAGATCACGGAAGAAGTTTGTTAATTTTTGTTCAAGAAAGATGGAAAAGGAGGAGAGGGGAAGGGGAGGGGAATTGTCCGGTCAGATCCGGGGCAGGGGAGGTAATCAAATGAAGACCACAATTTGGGTGACCGTGCCGTCCTTTTATTTTTAATAATTTACTAAAAAAAATATATATATATATGTTAGGGGGTGGGGGTGGGGGTGTGTTCGTGATCTGGAGTCATTATTTAATAAGTTGATGAATGCGTAATCATGCATTTGTATTTGATTAATTAATGTATCTGTCGCTGAATCAGTTTCTACTTTCTTTTCTCATTAAATAATCTTTTTATTTTTGGACTTTATTACACCTCCACATCTTGGATTATAAATTAACTTTTAACTTCTAAGCCTGCGTGAATGAATAACATAAGATTCTATTTATAGGTCATTACTTCGGTTGACAATGTTTCAACTTGAATCCAACACTGATGGTCGATTCGTCCATATTCAAATATTTGTTGGATAAATATACGCTGTGTATATAAACTATGTAATACAAGCAAACAGACTACAACGTAACTACTATAGACAATTACATATCTTTAAACTTGATGAACACCAAAATTTTACGAAATATAGTCGAGGCACGCTTCAATAGCACTGACTTAAAGACAAGTTATTCACTCTGCACAAGTTGCTAGCAAACTACCAAAGTAGTTGTAGCTTGCTTCCAAGTCCAAGCGCTAGCGRTAGAAGCTAGTCGCCAGAAGCTAACTTCCGGACCGGGAAGGAGCCGAACGATTATTTCAATAGGATATAACGACTAACTATGGTAGAATAGCAATCTCGAACACTCGAATCTGGCGAAACTCTTAGACACTTGCTCTCAAAACAAACAAAAACAATAATACAAAAGAAGACAGAATTCTTGTGAGATGAGGAAAAACTCAAATGAGAAATGATTTGATACCATTTGTTCTGCAAAATACACCATAACCACTGTTTCTTTTATCAAACAATATTAATCATTAATCCAAATAAACCCACCAAGCAATATTAACACTAAATCAAGTAGACAAGAGAGAAGAAGATGACACCAAAATTTCTAGCGATTCGACCAATGTTGTCTACATCCACCGTGCAAGGTGAGAGCAAAACTTCTATTAGCTTCAATATCCAAAAACAATAACAAACGAAACGAGGGAGAATAACAAATCCAAACTCTAAGCAGAACAACTCACGAAGAAGATGAAAACAATGGACAAAATACAAGAAGAAAGAAACAAACTCTTTTATAGATTTTTCCACCCTCGACTGCTGCGGTCAAAAAGAGTGTAACAAAATTCTGCCTCTTTTTTCTCAATCTCACGGCAAGAAGAATTGTTCAAATTAGGGTTGCATACTATGTAATAAAGTAGTCACATAATTGGGCTTAAACAACAACTAACGGCCCAACCCAACTTCTTTAATTTAATAACCCATGAGATATGCTTGAGTCACAACACAACAAATCACCCTCTTGAATCAAGTACATCCTCAGATGAAGAAACAAACCAAAATCTTGAACTCAACCATGCACGTTAACATCATCATAAACAAGCAACATTAGCCAACACCTACATTAAGTAGGTCACAGAAAAAGTTAAACTTTAAACCTGACAGAGACTTTATAAACATATCGGCAAGCTTATTTTCAAATGCAATATTCTCAGGCCTCATTGTCTTCTTGCTCACTTCATCTCTCAAGAAATGAAACTTTACGGCAACATGTTTGGTTCGATCATGATATAATGGATTTTTCGAAAGTGCAAGAACGCTTTGACTATCACAATGTATAGCAGGTTCTGCTATATCTCTTAGCATGTTTGATATCAACCCTTTCAACCAAATTGCTTCCTTAACTTATTCAAATAATGTTATATACTCTGACTCGGTAGTAGATAAGTCACTACAGATTGAAGTGAAGATCTCCAATTTATTGTATTGCCAAACACCTTAAACACAAAATCAGTTGTAGATCTTCTTTTATCTAAGTCGGACGCAAAGTTAGTATCAACAAAACCTTCTAAACACTGAACATCAGAAGTGTAAATTAAACTATAATCCTGAGTACTTTTTATATATATGATAACCCATTTTACAGCTTCCCAATGTGGTTTACATGGACAACTCATAAAACGACTAACAACACTCATTGCATAGGCTAAATCTGGATGAGTACATGTCATTCCATACATTAAACAACCTACTACATTAGAGTAAGGTACCTTGGTCATACTTGCAAGTTCTGTGTCTGTCTTTGGAGACTAAAGCTTTGATAATTTGAAATGAGAGGCTAAAGGGATAGTCACTGATTTTGCAACATCAAGTTGAAACCTTTTAACTACACTATCTAGGTAACCCCGTTGTGTAATTATGAGTTTGCTAGCTACTCTGTCTCTGAAAATTTCCATGCCTAGAATCTTTCTAGCAGGACCTAAATCCTTCATATCAAATTCTCTGCATAATTTAGCATTTAACTCAATAATTTCATAATATACATGAGAAGATACAAACATATCATACACATACAGTAATAAAAACACAAACACATTCTTCGATACATGTTTAACATAAACATAACTGTCATAATCACTTCTACAAAACCCCACATTAACTATAAATGTGTTAAACCTCTTATACCATTGCCTCGGAGATTGCTTAAGCCCACAAAGAGACTTTTTCAATCTACAGACCAAATGTTATTTTCTCTTTTCAATCATATAAATTTCTTCCTCTAACTCTCTGTGCAAAAAGGCCGTTGTCACATCCATTTGCTCTAGTTCAAGATTAAAATGAGCAACTAAAGACAACAAAATTTGGATTGAGGAATGTCTCACAACAGGAGAATAAACCTCATTATAGTCAATTCCATATTCTTGAGTAAAACCCCTTGTAAGTAACCTAGCTTTGTATCTAGGTTTGTTTTCACCACTAATACTAGACTTTACTTTAAACAACCATTTGCAATCAATAAGCTTGTGATCTGGTGGTTTTTCTGCAAGCACCAATGTCTCATTTTTAATCAATGAGGTCATTTCTTCATTTATAGCAATTAACCACTTATCACTTTCTTTAGACTCTATTGCTCATCAAAGTTTGAAGGTTCATGACTCAATGACACAGTTTAAGGCGTAAAATGTATCATTTCTCTGTTCAACTGCATAACTTGCTTCATCATATTTTACTGGTGGTCTAACAACCCTTCTCTATCTATCTCTAGCTAACTGGTAGTCTGACACTTGAGATTCTAACTCGATAGTTTCAGCATTAACAATTTCAGGTTGTTCTTCAGGTAATTCATTAGTCAACTGATCATCAACCTTGACAATTTCATTACTAAAAATAGATTGTTCACCTAATGGTCCAACAATATGATCATCAATCTCAAATGAGTTTGGAGACATAGTGACTAGTGATTTCTGGTAACTCACACTACTTGACAACTCCCAAAAAATGTCAAATTCATCAAATTTCACATCTCTGCTGATAATACATCGCCCCTGACCGAGTTCAAGAAGCCATAACTTATAGCCCTTCACCTCAGATGGATAACCAAGGAAGATACACTTCCTTGCACGTGGCTCTAGCTCGTCTTGTTTAGCATTTGCATACGCAGCACATCCGAATACCCTCAAATGACTAAGATATGGAGGCTTACCTGACCAAACTTCTTGAAGAGTTTTCATATTCAAGGCAACTGAAGGACTCCTATTTATGAGATACGTTGCTGTTGAAACTGCTTCTCCCCAAAACATTTTAGGAAGCTTTGCATTTGCTAGCATACATCTCACTCTCTCAAGCAAAGTCTGATTGAACCGTTCTGCAAGACCGTTTTCTTGTGGTGTGTAAGGAACGTAATGCCGCTTAATTCCAGTTTCTTTGCACAAAGTTACAAAACTATCATTTATATACTCCAGACCATTATCTGTTCTCAAAACCTTAATTCTTTTTCCAGTTTGGTTTTCTACCATAATTTTCCAATGTATAAAGGTGTTGGTTTATTATTTGTAAATATTAGTTGTAAATTAGTTGTAATATTAATTGTTATTTCCTTTTAGGTATTGGGTCTCTCTTCTATATAAGAAGGCTATGTAATTCTTCTCAATATACTATTTTGGAATATAATATTTTATTCCTTCAAACCAAGTTGGTATCAGAGCCAAAATAAACTCTAATATTCTAAGGGTCTTTAGAAACCATATTCACCATCCCTACCTTTAAACCCTAGTCGTTGTCATTACCGTTGCCAGAACCCTAGTCGCTGTTATCCAAGAACGACACATCCTACTTCCGGCACGGTAGGTCACTATTCCAGCATTCGTCCTCTTCGGCAGTAGTGTCGTTCGAGTTCGTCGTTAAAGGGGGATCTTCATAGGTTTGTCACAGATTTTATGGGCTTGGTATGTCGGCGTCGTGTGTTGTTCGCCACGAGATCTGTTGCCGTCTGCTACTGTTCGAGCCTGCGGCCACTTTCTGCCACCGTCCGCTACTGTCCGAACCGCCGCCGTCTGCTGCTGTCCGATCAGTCGTCGTCTGCTGCTGTCCGAGCCGTCACCGTCCATTGCTATTTCGCAGATCTGATTTTGTGATCGTGGGCTATTCTACAAAACCTACATCGGTTGGGTTTGTCCAGTTTGGTTGGCTCGGCCTAGTTCATCTGGTTTAGTTAGTTCGGTTCAGTTTTGTTTGCTCGAAATTTTTGAAATGACCCTAAGTCTAGCGGAATATGAGGGTGACCAGGAGCAAGTTTGTACTAATAGTGTTGACTCAAATCCAGTTAGTAGAGAACATCTATCACAATGGCTAGAGTCCAATTTGGCATTTGGTAATCTTTGTATTTCCCTGGGGCAAACAGGTAATTATCCTAGAGCACTCTCATGTTTTGACTCATCTCCGTGGATTATTAATTTCGGAGCCTCTGACCATATGATTAGCTCTTCTAAATTATTTGAATCATATTCTCCAACATATTGCAATGAAAAAATTAGGATTGTCAATGGCAGGTTCTCTTCTATTGCAGGCAAGAGAACCATTAAATTAACCGAAAATATTACTCTTCAATCGGTCCTACATGTCCTTAAATTAGCTTGCAATC